CAGCATATGATGCAATAAAAACAATTATACGTTTACCATCAATTTCTACACTTAAAAGTTATATTAATGAATGTGAATTAAAAGTCTAAAACTGACCTGAATGGCAAGATAAAATTGCTTATCAAGCCTATCAGAAAATAATTAAAAAATATTAAGATGGGTTTGGACAGTGGCAAATAAAACTGGCAAACTTACGCTGTTAGCAAAAATCAGGTCACTATTAAGAAAGCTGGAAAACTGATGGGATGACATTACTCAGCTTTGGTAAACTATAGGCAAGGCAAATGGAATATTATAGTAGAACTTCGTATTCATAACATACTAATTTATTTTTTATTAGTTTTTTCCCTTTTTAAAATTTTTTTTTTTTTTTACCCTGACTTTTTTGTTATTGTTCTTTTTTTCTTTTTGTATTCGAATTTGAGTTTTGTCTGCAGTAGCAGTGAGTCCTTAAGGGCATTCAAGGTGTAGACTAGGAGAATGGATTTCATTTAAAAAAGGACACCTTCAAGGTGAACTTACTTCCCTAGCTTAAGTTCTTCACTGACAGTACATACATGATTGCTTCGATGAAGTTAGTGGGTGGTGTAATTCTTGCAGTAAATTAGGATTTTGATTAATTGTACGTGTATTGTATTAGCTTGTCTTATTTAAATCTTAATAAAGAATTATATGTGCTGCAGCAAAAAAAATAAATAAATAAATAAATTTTGAAACTTTATTTTTCTCTTTAAATGATAAAATTTTGAAATTAATTTCGACAAATTTTTTTAAAAAAAAAAAATTAATTTTTGTAAATAGAACCTCCAGTTTTATAAACCAATTTCAAAACTTACAAAACAAATAAAATTAGCAAGTTCATTTAACTTTGATTTTCTAGTTAAAAATTAGATTTTTTTTATCTTTAATTTTTAAACAAAATGGTTTTAAATATTTCAAAAAATTTTTTTTTGTTTTAATTTTTTTTTTTATTAAAATATTAACTAATATTCCAATTTTTAATATTTTTATTTTACAAAATATTTTTTAATGCTTCATTTAATTTTTTTTATATTTTCAATTAAAACATTAATTAATGTTCTGATTTTTTTTTTTGTAAAACTATTACTTTAAAAAAATGTTTTCTAATGTTTTTTATTCCAGCATGAATACTAATATTTCAGGTAAATTTCAAAAAAAATTTTAAAACTTTATAAAAACTTTTTTTTATTTTTATTAGTCCTAACATGGATATTGATATTTCAAGTAAATTTAGAAAAAAAATTTTGAAACTTTCTTTAATAAAATATTTTTAATACTAAAAAGTGTTTTTTTATTATTTTTTATATATAGGAAATCGGTTCTAGTATGGATACTGAATTCCAAAGATAAGTTTCAAAAAAAAAAATTTGAAACTTCTTTAAAAAAACATTTTTTAACATTTTTTTATATGTAATTGTAAGGATATCAGTTCTGGTATGGGATATCAAATTTAAAGGCAAGTTTTGAAAAATTTCTTCAAAACTATTAAAAAAATGTTTTTTAATATTTTTTTTTACATTTAATTGTAAGGATATTAGTTCTAGCGTAAATACTAAATTCCAAAGGCAAGTTTCAAAAAAAACTTTTTAACATTTTTTTTTATATTTAATTATAGTTCTGGTGTGAATACTGAATTCTAAAGATAAGTTTCAAATTTTTGAAACTTCAATAAAAAATGTTTTAATTATAGGGATGTCAGTTCTGGTATGGATACTGAATCCCAAAGGCAAAGTTTTGAAAAATCTCTTCAAAACTATTAAAAAAATGTTTTTTTATATTTAATTATAGGGATATCAACTCCTACTTGGATACCAAATTCCAAAGGTAAGTTTTGAAGAATTTTCTTTAAAAATATTTAAAAAAACATTATTTACCATTTTTTTATATTAATTGTAGGGAAATTGGTTCTGATGTGGATACTGAATCCCAAAGAGAAGTTTTGAAAAATTTTATAAAAAAAATATTTCATACTTTTATATATCCAACGTGGATGCTGATTCCAGATAAGTTTTGAAAAAAAAAATCAAAACTTTATAGTTTCTAACCAAGTAAATTTCAAACCATTTTTGAAACTTCTTTAAAAAAACGTTTTTTTTTTTATATTTTATATGTAGGAAATCCTAATATACCTTTTATTCATGGGGCGTCTTTAAAATATAGTAGGGTGTACGATATTAACGTACGAACTAGCCCGAGTTTGGGAGTTATGCACTTACACGCGATAACGTTAACGTTAATTCTGGCCAGTTCGTACGTTAATATCGTACACCCTCACTGTACATTTTGTTCAATGATCTAAAAAAGTGTCTTTATAGATCTGTTCTAGATCTTACATACTATTACATTTACATATTATTTTTATTTGTTACTATATTTACATTGTCAAACTATTAAACTATTGGAAACTAATAACTATTGCGTCCTTAACGTACAGTGAGTGGGTACTTGCACGTGATAGCGTTAATGTTAACTCCGGGTCTCCGGCGATCAACTTAATTTTTGAAAAATTAGTATTATCTGTTATTTGAATGATCTCAACATAGTAAACTACGTATATAATTATCGTAGTATTATCGTTATGTAAAATAATACGGATCTTAATTTGTATTTCGGAAAAGCTATTAAATTTTTTCATATTGCCGATTATAAAAGCACCACTTTTTTAAAGCTAAACTTTGAGGTGGTGCTTAAAGCATTTGGAATTTTTTTGTACCCGTTAACCGTGAAAATATTTTTGTACACCCATCTGCTATGTTTTACTTTATTTTTTTAAGTGTTTCATCATTAGGAAATTGATGAAAATGAAAGGGAAATTGTAGATAAAGATAGTGAGTGATTCAGCTGATGAATTAGATGAATTTGAAGATGAAGAAATTGTTTTTTCAGAGTAAAATGAGTAAAATGTAAAATATATAAGATTCATTCAATTTTCAAATTTAAGGTGATACTTATATTTGTTTCTCAAGGTTTTTTTTCAAAAGGTCGGGTGGTGCTTAAAATTGGGTGGTATTTATAATCCGGAGAATACGATAATTTACAATCTCTATATCAAATTTGGTAAGATTATAAAGTACAGTACAAATATTTCAATTTACATTTCAATTTTACATTATCAAAAAGAATCAAGATATTACTAGATCAATCAGTCCTTAATATAATGAACATTTCCAGTTTTTCACTTAACGAAGAATTTTTAAAAGAATTTAATTGGACCGATTTCATTATAACTTAAAGTGTTATGAAAAAATTCGTTAAAAAAAAAAAAAAAAAAAAGCAAAAGTTTATTATCGAGGAGGTTAGACTTGTTTAAAAAATGTTTAAAATGAAAATATTTCTATTATTGAGAAATGTTAAAAAATTTTTGTTTTATTTTTATATTTTTATTTTTTTTTTGGACATTTACAGAATGTATAAAATGTATTGAAAAATTTTGTCAGCAAAAACTTGTACAATTATTTTTTTTTTTGGCATTTATAAATATGAAGGTTCGAGCTATAAATTTATTTTAAATGTTATAAAATGAATTTCAATAATAAAAATAATAAATGTAAGTAATTTGAATAATAATGTCAAGTATGAATTTCAATAATAAATGTAATTTGTCAAGTATGAATTTCAATAATAAATGTAATTTGTCAAGTATGAATTTTAATAATAAATGTAATTTGAATAATAATGATAATAATGTCGAGTACATTTTTTACAAACTTCACATGAACTTTTACAATAATAGCTTTTAAGACATTTTTTTAAAAAACCAGTTACGTGATCATTTACGCGATGACCTAATAATAACAAAGTGCCGGTTTCTTTAAATAGTAATTTCTCAGAATATCTTGTGCGGTATACAATAATTATAATGATGTTCCTTAGTGAATCCTTACTTAAATATTACTTAAATGCTTAAAGTATGGTGTACACTTGAATGGTAGGCAGCGCGACTATCATTGTAACAAACCTACCGGCATAACCTTAGTGTGATTACGTAAATTCAATTATTCACATTATTGGTCATTAACTCTATATACGTTATATATACCAACATGAATGGTTATTTTTTTTTTAAAAAAAAAAAATAAATAAATTGTTGAATTATCGATCCCTATCTAATCTCTCTCTCTTTTTTTTTTATCGGTAAAGATGTTACACAAATACCAAGAGAATTTTTGTTAAAATTAAAAAAAGATGTACTTTATGTACGACATATGAGTATGTGAATCGTAAAACAAAAATGTCTTATCCTAAAAAAAAAAATATTACTTGAATAATATTTCATTATCAATTGATAAGAAGAAAATTTTTTCTTAATGAAACATTTTTTTAAAAAAATAGGAATTTATATATGAAGAAATTAATATTTTTAATTAATCTCATTATTTATGAATCCCACAATCCCACAATCCCGCAATCCCGCAATCCCGCAATCCCGCAATCCCGCAATAACGCAATCCCGAAATCCCGCGTCCTTGTATGTTGTATCTGACAATATCAGGAAATTCATATAAAGAAATCATACACAAATGGGGCGTGGATCATTTTAACAATAAAAAAAAAAAAAAAAAA